TAGTAACCATGATGTATTTGGGAAGCCAGTGGAGATCAGAATTCACTGGAATGACAGAGACTATTGAATTAGAAAACATTGCTCTTTCAATGTTTTTGAGATAACTATAGTTTTCTTATTTTAATTATAAAATCTTAGTTGTTTTTGATTGTATTCTAACGGGTATTACACAAAGATCTTCCTCAATCAGAACATAATAAAGATAAAATTTTAACTTTTTTGGTAGCTGAGACTGCTATACATAGTAAATGATACAGAGTACATTGCCATAGTTCTTTTTTCTTTTCTTTCTTTCTTTCTTTCTTTTTTTTTTTTTTTGAGGTTAGGCTTTCAACTATTTCTTCTCACTAATATCTTCATCTGCCTCAATGACGACCTACTCATATTTACAATTAGTTTTTGGGTTGCAGCATTTTAAAAAAGGCGAATTAGAATTGTAAGTAGTGTGTGGGAGCTGAGTGAATAGATTATTTCTATGATCTGAAGATCTATGTAGTCTGATTCTTTGTCATCATAAAATTTTGTTTCATTATTATTTAAAGTAAAGTTCATTTTTGTTTTTACTTCTACAAAAGAAACACATATTCACTGCATAAAGTATGAAAGCTTATCTACTGCACAGAAATACACTGATGGGAAATCTTTATGAGATCTTAAATAGTAATTCAAGAATAATTCTATTATGTTAATAAACCCTATATATTTGTGCAAAAGACATAGTAATATTTATAAGCACATCAAAAAAGGTCACTTCTGGAGAAGAGACAGGATTTCAAGAGGTAGGTTATGATATGGGGTAGTTGACAGTAAAGAGAAACATGTTTTTAAAAATATGTTTCTACTAGAGGCCCAGTGCATGAAATTCATGCACAGGGACGGGGGATACCCTCAACCTAGTCTGCACCCTCTCCAATCTGGGACCTCTTGGGGGATATCTGACTGCCGGTTTAGGTGCAATCCTGGGGATCGGGCCTAAACCAGCAGTCGGACATCCCTTTCACAATCTGGGACTGCTGGCTCTAACCGCTTGCCTGCCTGCCTACATGATTGCCCCTAACTGCCTCCCCCAACCAGCCTGATCACCCCTAACCACCACTGTCTGCCAACTGATCGCCCCCAACTATGCCCCCATGCCAGCCTGGTCATCCCCAACTGCCCCCCTTGCTGGTCTGATTGCCCCCAACTACTCCCCCTCCCCTGCTGGCTGGGTTGCCCCTAATTGACCCCTTCGCTGACCTGGTCACCCCACGTAGCCTGCTGGTCAGTCCTTTGGTTGTCCCTCGCTAACCACCTTGCCAGCCTGGTCACCCCACACAGCCTGCTGGTCCATCCTTTGGTTGGCCCTCACTAACCCCCTGCCGGCTCTGTCACCCCACGCAGCCTGCTGGTCAGTCCTCTGGTCGTCCCTCGCTAACCCCCCTGCTAGCCTGGTTGCCTCACGCAGCCTGCTGCTCAGTCATTTGGTCGTCCCTTGCTAACCCCCCTGACTGCCTGGTGGCCCATGCAGCTGCTGTGTGGTTGTTACTGTTACTGTTCGGTCATTCTGTCTGGCCGTGATGGGCCTAGTCCAGTAGTTGGCGAACTGTGACTCGTGAGCCACATGCAGCTTTTTGGCCCCTTGAGTGTGGCCATGAAGTTTCAATCGCACTGTACATGTGTGTCCACACGTGGTATTTTGTGGAAGAGCCACACTCAAGGGGCCACAGTTTGCCGATCACTGGCCTAGGCTATTATTAGTATGGATATGACTTTTATGTTTTATAAATAAGCATATATGGTTTTTTAAATTTTACCAATGAAAAATATTGGAAAGTATAGGAAATCAAAAATAATTATATATATCCTACCCTCTCAGTGACCACTATTATTACCTCTCTAGATTTCTAAGAATACTACTTACATGAAATATACTTTTCATGGATATATACTAAAATACTGGAATAGAGATATTCTATATAATAAAAGCCCAGTGACCTAATGGCAGGATGACCAGAACAACTATGGCCCCTTGCCCCAGCAGGCCCCCCAACCCCCACCCCAATTGGGGGCAGAGTCTGCCAGCAAACCGCCTGTGGCCCCTCACCCTGGCCAGCCAGGCACCAATGGCCCCCATTGGAGTGGGCTGGTCTGCTCCCACCCGTGCACTGGGCCTCTATCCTATCTAATAAAAGAGAAACATGGTAATTAGCCGTACCTCCGCTACCCTTCCCATTGGCTAATCAGGGTGATATGCAAATTAACTGCCAGCCAAGATGGTGGCCGGCAGCCAGGCAGCTTGCAGTGAAGATGAGGCTTGCTTGCTTCAGTGATGGAGGAAGCCAACGTTCCCTG